GTGCTTGGTTCCTCCTCCAGAGCAGGAATCAGTGCCCAGGCTCCATGCTTTCCCTAAGAGGGGATGTTATTGTGGCGAGCCCTTTTGGGGCTCCCCAAGAGCTGATCCTGAAGGCATTTTGAGACTATGAGGACTAACCAGATTGCTCGAGAGAACCCAGGACTTCCCTGGATGCCACTCCACAGTGGGAATGTCAGGCCTAAGTGTTCTGGTGAAATTGAAGACTATGTGACATCAAAGGCCGGAGAACAGGTTAGGAAGATTCAGGAGCTTTGAAAACAGAACCCAGCAGCCACTGAGTTGAGGCTTTGAGGCCTGAATAAGCAAAATGATATTGTTTGGCACAACTCATTACTTTAAAAAAGAAAGATAAAAATGTTTTTAGCATACAGAAAAATATGGAGAATATTATGGGAAATATCCATGCTCTACTCACCAAAATTGGATGTTGTCATTCTGCTATATTTGCTTCAGCTCTTCCCAATGAACTTCTAACTGTATCAGCAATATATCAGAAATGTTTTAGTTTAGGAAAATATGATATTATGGTGTGAAAGAGATTTTTAAAAATAAACACAGGCATTGCTCATCATATCCTTGAAATTTACCAGTTTCTGGTCCTTGGTCGTGTGGGTTTCACAATAATATACTGTTAAAACTTTCTATGTTTACATTATGACTACCTCGAAGTTTGAAATCCTTGAAGTATTATCAATATACTCAAGAAACTCCTTTCTAGGTCACCAGTTCAAATTTGGCTTGAAATCACTGGAGTGGCTGCAAAATAATTACAATTCATCATGTTCAATGACATTATAAAGACTATCATTAGAGTAATTTAGACATCATCTGTATCCAAAATTTTATGATGAGTTCCACTCACTGATCCAGACAACCACACATCTATTGTCATATAAATGTGAAAGGGGGTGTTAAGTCAAGCCTACACATGGCTCAGTTCACTTGTCTACATGGCATCCTCTTAGGACTTATGTGTTCAATATGTGTGGTTGGAGTTTGCTGATATTGTGATAAGTGGATGCCATGTTCCTTTCAACTAGAGTCAAAGGATTTCATACTTGTGATCAGGACCCACGGGGAGAATTACATTTTTTATTGGCTCAGTAGATATACATACACATTATATTTAAAAAGCATATATACATATATAATTTAAAAGCATATATATATACTTAAAAAGCATATATATATGTTTTTCTTTTGGTTGAATTGTGTCCCACCAAAATGCATGTTCACCTGGAGTCTAAGGATGTGGACTTTTTTTTGGAAATAGGGTTGTTGCAGATATAATTAGTTAAGATGAGGCCGTACAGAAGTAGAGTGGGCCCTGAATCTAACATGATTGTTGTGCTTACAAGAAGAGGAGAAGAGACACAGAGACAGACACACACAGGGAAGAAGGCCATGTGGAGACAAGGAAAGAGATTGCAGTTATACAACTGCAAGCCAAAGACCAAGGATTGCCAGCAACCACCAGAGGCCAGGAAAAAGCAAGCAGTGGTTCTCCCCTAGAGGCTTCAGGGAGAACATGCCCCTACCAGCATCATCCAGCTCGTAATATTTTGTTATGGCAGCCCTAGGACACTATATCTATGTATCTATGTATCTGTCTATGTATCTGTCTGTCTATCTGTCTCTGTCTGTCTGTCTGTCTTGTGTGTGTGTGCATTACAATGTTTCCCTAAAATAATGCTTACCTATATTTTTAACAATACATTATAGTATTTTATTTCTGGGTATAGTCCATTCTATTCTGTTCAATTTTTTAAAGATTGCACTATGAAAAAAAAAGAAAAAAGCTTGAGTCCTGGCAATGAAGTGAGGTCCTTGATTAGGCCCTAGATCTGCTTCCTGGAAGGCACATTCCTGTCCACTGTCCTCCACAGCTCATGACTTTGCTCTCTTGGTCCACTAGTCTCACTGGCTGCCTCTGAGTGGTGCTGGAGAGTGTGCCCTTCCTGTGGCAGACAACTTTTGTGGCTGTCTCTGTTAATGTGGACTAAAGGCTTGGGTTGCTTTACAGGTTCAGGAACAATACGGATCTGACACCCTGGGGAGGTGCTCTTCTTGAGACTGCTACTAGAGCCATGGGTCCAAGAGTGCAGCTTTGCAGCTGTGTTCCAGTGGTCAGGAAGCTGGAATCGAGGCATGACCATTGCTGCTCAACTGCCCTCCACACCTAGGAAGCTGAGAACAGGCCCTGGGACATTGCTGCAGGAAAAAAAAAAAATGACCAAAACATTGGCAGCAATATGGCCTCCATCTCATTTCTGCCTTCTACTTCACACGAGATTCATGTACTGGGCAGAGTATAATGCATATCCAGAACCCCAACTATAAGGGAGTTTTTGAACGATTATTTTCAGATGTCCAATCTTTCTTTCCTTTTTTTTTTCCTTTTTTTTTTAAGATGGAGTCTCTACTCTGTTGCCCAAGCTGGAGTGCAGTGGCATGATTCCAGCTCACTGCAACCTCTGCCTCCTGGGTTCAAGCGATTCTACTGCCTCAGCCTCCCGAGCAGCTGGGATTACAGGTGCACACCACCACGCTCAGCTAATTTTGTATTTTTAGTAGAGATGGGGTTTCACTATGTTGGCCAGGTTGATCTCAAACTCTCAACCTCAGGTTATCTGCCCTGTTTAGCCTCCCAAAGTGCTGGGATTACAGGCGTGAACCATCGCACCTGGCCTAGATGTCCAATCTTTCTAAACAGAAGGAGGAGGGGTTGCATGTTAAAGTAGACAAATCACAGTCTCCATCACAAGGTTTATAAAGGATTGTCTATTTTGATAAGTAAGTTCACTGTAAGTCTCAGCGATGTTGATTTAGGAGATCTTGGTGTCCAGTTAGATGCCCCCAAGTCCTCCTGCAAGGGCAGGCAATACAGACTGTGCCAGCACAACTCTCGAGGGTCAGCATTGACAGAAACGGCAAAACAGGGAAGGGATTAAAGAGACCCTGGCACATTATCATCAATCTAGGGGCAAATTAGAACTTCTTGGACCTACTCTGAGGCTGAACCGGAGTCATTTGCTTTTCTCCAGATTAATGGCAAGATGACGAGATGAGAAATGGCACGTTCTGGTTTTGTAGGCTTAGTAACACCATCTCCCTGTAATGAATACAGTACCATGACTGCGGCGGCTGCTGCTGTTGCCACAATGACTCAGTGAGTCATTAACACCGCAATCCTCTTTATAATGAAATCTGGGTAAAGTGGTTGCCTATTTGTCACTCTAAAGTGGCAGTGTACTAAATGGTAACTTTGTAGGCTGAAAGACAGAAAAACTTAATTCAACTTCCTGTGCACCTTACCGTTAACCATGGTTTGGACTTAAGGAATTAGCTGACTCATTTGCTGTTTGTTTCTCAAGAGGCATATTTAAACATTAAAAACAAATGTGATTGTTAGTACTATGCCTTAAGAAATTTTCTGCCACACCCTAAAACTGTATAAATGATAGGCTATGTATAATAAAAATACTCTCATATTTTTTAGCTTACTATATGTAAGTGTTCTGAATCCAGAATGAGGATTTCTTCCCAGTAAACTATTCCGGTGAGACCCTGCCATTTGTTACGTTTTGATTATCTTATTCCCTCTCTCTCTCTCTCTCTCTCTCACACACACACACACACAGACACACACACACACCCCCCAGATGCACACATATGCCTTTTATGTTTATCTAGTTTTGGGAGGTAATATCACTGGACAGTTAAGGTTTGGTGTTTGGAGTTACGCTCCACTGTGGCCTTGTTCTGGGACTCTAAAGTGATTTAACTCCTCTGGGCTTCAGCTAGCTCACTGACAGTTAGTTGTATAATACCAGCTTGTTGTTGAGGAACTAAATGAGATGATGTCTGTAAAGTGCTCAGCACAGAGCATGGCATATAGTAAATGCTCATCAAATGTAATTCCTTTTATTTTTAGCCATGTTGTGAAATTTTATTGTACTAGATTTGGGTTTAAATTTTTAAAGAGTTTATTTTGGAGGAAATGGCATGAGTAATAAGCATATGCCAATATGTTATTATCAGAGCATTTGTAACTATCTCATGACAAAATAACAGAAAATGGTATTTACTATCAGCCCCAAAGTTCAAGTCTATATATATGTGTGTGTGTGCATATATATATATACAATTTTTTTGAGACAGAGTCTTGCTTTGTCGCCAGGCACAAGGTTGGAGTGCAGTAGCGGGATCTCGGCTCACTGCAACATCCACCTCCCAGGTTCAAGCAATTCCCCTGCCTCAGCCTCCCAAGTAGCTGGGACTACAGGCACACGCCACCATGCCCAGCTAATTTTTGTATTTTTGTAGAGGCGGGGTTTCACCATGTTTGCCAGGATGGTCTCGATCTCTTGACCTTGTGATCTGCCTGCCTTGGCCTCCCAAAGTGCTGGAATTACAGGTGTGAACCACTGCGCCCAGCCTCAAGTCTATATTTTATAGCTTAATTTAGATGATTAAAGAGCAGCATCAGCTCTTTTAGTATATTGTACTTATATTCATTATATTAAAAAGTACATTACATAATTTATAACATGGTGATAAAAATGTGTAGCCTATATGCAAGGGGGACAGAACACAAAATAGTAAAATAATTTTTAGGTACTGTAAGGGTTTCCTGCAGGAAAAGCAGTTGCAAGGTCTGCATATTAAATACAGATCTTTTTGTCCCTTCCCCTGAAGCTGTGGAAGAGATCTTTTCAAAGAGGATCCAGGAAGCAACTATACAGAAAAGAGCCATGTATTTAAGGAACTTAATCCTCTCCACCCAAAACCGCAGGGCTGGTAGAAATGGCTCTTCCAAGCATGATGTGAGCAGAGACCCAAGATTCAGGAAGACAATAGGTGCATGAAAGCTGAGAAGTAGAGTGAACAGTAGACACCCAGGAAGCGACCAGATGTCTACTGAGCCTGAGAGTAAGGATGGACTAGAGGATGCAGAGAGCCAGAAAGGCTTTCCTGACCTTGTGGTACTGGAGCCAAGGTGCATTTCCTTGGAAGATCGTCTGCAGCTGTTGGTGGGCACCAAGAAATCACTGGTTTGAGAAGAGAGAGCAAAGAACAAAAAATTACTCAACAAATCAGGAGTCCAAAAATCTTCAGGACCTGACAGCGAAGGATCCTGCACTCAGTGATGGATTTAAAACTGTGGATGAATGAACACAAATGCCAAGTGTGATAGGAACTGCAAGATAATAGCCCTGCAGTTACTATTGTCGCCTGATGGAAGGCAAAAGGCCTAAGGAAATTGCAGGGAGAATCTTGCAAAGTCAGAACTACTTCAAAAGAGAATCTGGCAAAGTCAGGCCTAGAATTGAGGAAAGGGTGAGGCTAGGGACTGGGACAAAGACAAGACTCTGGCCCTGCCCACCTGGGGCTGGAAACAGTTACAGTCCTTTAATGAGAAAGCATGTAGTAACTGCATGGAAATCACCCCGCATGTTACTCCTTATAAACAGCAGGACACAAATACTTGTCCAGGCAAACAGCATGGCAAATCCGCAGCATAGCCTGGATTCTTACCAATTAATCTCTTTATGCTCTCAATCTTCAAGATAAAGAATTCTATTCAGTTGTTATAAAAGAGGAAACTGAATAAAAATAAATAAGCAAATCTCAATAGACCCAGAGTACCATTTGCTTGAAAAAACAGCATGGTTAAATTGCAGGGGGTGGGGGTTGTGTGTTTTTTTGAGATGGAGTCTCACTCTGTCGCCCAGGCTGGAGTGCAATGGCATGATCTCGGCTCACTGCAACCTCCACCTCCCAGCTTCCAGCAATTCTCCTGCCTCAGCCTCCCAAGTAGCTGGGACTACAGGTGTGCACCACCATGCCCGGCTAATTCTTTGTATTTTTAGTGGAGATGGTGTTTCACTATGTTGGCCAGGATGGTCTCAATCTCCTGACCTCGTGATTCGCCTGCCTCAGCCTCCCAAAGTGCTGGGACTACAGGTGGGAGCCACCGCGCCTGACCCTAAATTGCAGTTTTAACAAGAACGCGTGTTTTGGAGTCAGTCAGATTCAGGTCTGAGACCTATCTCTAGCCCTAAGTGAAGGACTTCGGGCTCATTGATTAAACCGTACTGGCATTAATTCCACCTGTGCAAATTGGGAACCATGCTGTCAACCTTGCAGGTTTAAACAATTTTAAGATTAAATGAACTTATACAAAAATATCATTTGGAATGGGTTAGGTGGCCATTATGTTAGTTTCTTTTCTTTTGATTTTGACATTGCAGAACCACAGACTCAAAGTCTGATAGGCACCCTGACAGGTGTGACCATGGGCCAAGTATTGCTAAGTTGTGCAAGCTTCCAAAGGGACTGCACAGGTCTCTGGAGTCAGACTGCCTGGGCTCAGAACCACTCAATAGCTTTCTGATCTGGGAGGAGTTACTTATTCTCTCTGTGACTCATATTTCTTACCTATCAAAGAAGTTAGCAATGTCCACACACAGGGGTTTTGGAGTGCTAAGTGAAAAAAATCCACATAAGGCATTTAGGATGATCTGAGAAGGGCAGGACTGAGGTGAAGTTCATGGAGATAAAGTTAACAGGGACGTTAAGATAGTCATCTCTGGAGTTACCTGGCCAGGTGCTGGTCAATGGTAGCACCAGAGGGCAGCATGGTGATTGCAAGGCCCCTCCCAGGCTCTGTGGATAATTTTAAATGAGCCACAGTAGCCTTCCAAGGAGACTTCATAATTATGGAACCTGGGAATGGCCCCGTCTGCTTAAATATAATGCCATCCAACCCAGCCCACTCCCCTAGGGCTAGCTTTGGATGGGGAGCCTTTACTTCAAATTGTACTGCTTATTTTCTTATTTGCTTATTTTATTTTCCCATCATTAAAATGTAGCCTAGCTGGGCACAGTGGCTCACGCTTATAATCCCAGCACTTTGAGAGGGGTTGGCGGGTGGATCCTTTGAACACAGGAGTTCGAGACTAGCCTGGGCAACATGGAGAAACCCTATCTCTACAAAAAACACAAAAATTATCTGGGCATGGTGGTACATGCCAGTAGTCCCAGTTACTCAGGAGGCTGAAGTGGGAGGATGATTTAAGCCTGGAGGCAGAGGTTGCAGTGAGCCGAGACAGTGTCGCTGCACTCTAGCCTTTGTGACAGAACAAGATCCTGCCTCATGGTGGATCATGAGGTCAGGAGATCGAGACCATCCTGGCCAACAGGGTGAAACCCTGCCTCTACTAAAAATACAAAAAATTGGCCAGGCGTGGTGGTGCGCGCCTGTAGTCCCAGCTATTCAAGAGGCTGAGGCAGGGAAATCTCTCAAACTCAGGAGGCAGAGGTTGCAGTGAACCAAGATTGCGCCACTGCACTCCGGCCTGGCAACAGAGCAAGACTCCGTTTCAAAAAAAAAAAAAGTCGTGCCTCAAAATAAATAAGTAAAGTAAAAAGTCGAAAGAAATGTATTGACTCATATAGCCAAGAGGTGCCAGGGTTGAATCCATAGCCTCAGAGAAGTAATGAGGATCCTATAATGCCACTTTCCTCTGTGCTGGTGTCATAGGTTTGAGATGAAGATTTGTCGAATGCAGCGAGTTTGCTGGGGAGTACTCTCAATAGAAGCATGGCTAAGAAGGGTAAAGGAAGCAAGACTGCGCAGTGGGAGGTAGCTGATTCTGTGATGAGCTCCTCTTACAACCCTATCCTGGGTTGTCTGGTCTTGAGGGAAGGGGACGGGGCCTTTATAAGTTCTAAGCCCTGCAGCCATCAGTCCTTGGGCGAGGTGGCTTTTCTTGCTGAGGGCAATTCATGGAGAGCAACTCAGCTGAGAGCCATCAGCTGCCAATATTCCAAGCAGCTGAGAAAATCAGTGCCTCAGTCCAGAGGGAGTGATCTGGGTGGCAAACCATGCACCCAGTACAGTTGACTTTATTTTCGGGTAGCATCTGTCCATGTGCCACCCAAGATGGCCACCTGCAGTTAGGCTTACATGGTGGTTCTCGGCCCCTGCAATCTTTCCTGATCTTAACAGTGAAAGTCCTAGTGAGGATTTTGATTAGCTTGATTTGAGTCATGTGGCCATCCCTAAACCAATCATAATGCCAGGGCAACAGGCTTCTCTGATTGTTTAAGTCTGGATTGTATGTCTACTCCTGGAAGTAGTGGCGATTGCTGGAAAAGATTACTGAAAAGAGGATTTCGGTTCAAAACTAACAGTTGCCTATACAACCTATGTTACAGGTTAAGTAGCAGAGCCACACACAAATTCCTCTCTTGAAGTCCCACCCTCACTCCCACAGAATGTGATCTTATTTGGAAACAAGATTTTCATAGAGGTAGTCAAGTTAAAATGAGGTCATTGGGGTGAGCTCTAATCCAACTCCTCATGCAGAGGTGAAATTTGGACACAGCCAGCCATTCAGGGAGAAGGCCATGGGCACATGAAGATGGCCATCTACAAGGCAGAGAGAGAGAGGCCTGGAATAGCTCTTCACTTCACAGCCCTAGAAGGAAGACACCCTGCCAAAACTTTGATTTCAGACTTTCTAGTCTCCAGAGCTGTGACTAATACATTTGTGTCAGATACTCCCTTTGTGGTACTTTGTTACAGCAACCCGGGCAAACTAATAAGAATCTGATGGAGATTAAAGCTTTTAGGCTGCAGGATTTCCTGAGGCCATAACGCAGATGCTAAAATAGGTTATTTGTCTTATAATTTTGCCTGTCTAGTACTTAGTGGATTTGTCAGAGGTGTTCGAACCAAAGCAACTCCATCTTGAATAGGGGCCGGGTAAAATAAGGCTGAAACCTACTGGGCATTCTAAGTTACAGGCTGAAACAGGAGGTTGGCACAAGACATAGGTCACAAAGACCTTGCTGACAAAACAGCTTGCTATAAAGAAGCCAGCCAAAACCCACCAAGACCAAGATAATGACAAGTGTGACCTCTGGTCACCCTCACTGCTACACTCCCACCAGTACCAATGACAGTTTACCAATGGCATGGCAACATTAGGAAGTTATTCTATATGGTCCAAAAAGGGAAGGCATGAATAATCCACTCCTTGTTTAGCATAGCATCAAAAAATAACCATAAAAATGGGCAGCCATCAGCCCTTGGATTTGCTCTGTCTACGGAGTAGCCATTCTTTTATTCCTTTACTTTCTTAATAAACTTGTTTTCACTTTACTGTATAGACTCGCCCTGAATTCTTTCTTGTGTGAGATCCAAGAAGGCTCTGTTGGGGTCCGAATTGGGAACTTTTCCAGTAATATCTTTCTGGCGACCATGGAAGGGACAATACTAAGGAAAGCCCCAAGCTAACGGCTAGCTTTGGGTAAGTGGTGGGGTCCGGTAACAGGTTGAAACATCAAATTGCCCAAAGGAAGTGGTCCATTTTGCTCTGTTCAAGTGTAACCTATGTTACCTCTTCTCAAGTAAGATTTCTTGAGAGGATTAAGCTTGGAAGCATTCAATGTACACGATGAATTAACTTCTTTCTTTCTTTTTTTGTTTTGAGACAATCTCGCTCTGTTGCCCAGGCCGGAGTGCAGAGGCACAATCTTGGCTCACTGCACCCTCCACCTCCAGGTTCAAGTGATTCTCCTGCCTCAGCCTCCCAAGTAGCTGGGATTACAGGCACCCACCACCACACCTGGCTAATTTTTGTATTTTCAGTAGAGATGGGGTTTCACCATGTTGGCCAGGCTGGTCTTGAACTCCTGACCTCAGGTGATCCACCTGCCTTGGCCTCCCCAAGTGCTGGGATTACAGGCGTGAGCCACCGCACCTGGCTGCATTAACTTCTTTCTTATGTGTCTGTAATGGCAGTAGCAGTGTATCATTTGGGGGGAAGGGTACAATTGAGACATAATCAAAACCATTTTCTCTTAATTTTCTCATGGAACTCCAACTGAGAAAGGTCAGTAGGCTCTAGTGGTACCAAACACATCTAACTCGTACATCCCTACTTGGATTTGCACCAGTTATGATTTATGCACATGGCAGTTATCGTGGCCTGACAAGCCAACATCATTGAGTAGAAGCAATTGGGAAGGGTAGCCACTGCCTCTGTCTTTTTATGGCACTGTGACATAAAAATAAAAAACTTCATGTCATCTTGAGTTCATAAGAAGGGGAACTCCCAAAATGGCAGCGACTGAGAGCAATATGCACAAGCTAAAAAAAACTATGACAGTCTCAAGTTGAGGTATTATCGGATTCAGTATTGGCTTAATAACTTAAACGTAATTTTAATTTTCATAGCCCAGAGACATTCTGTGCTATTCGCCTATTCTTGTCTATCTGTTTTGTACGTTGCTGTCTCATGATCTGTTTATTCTTATGTCAGCCTAGATATAATGGGATATATAGTAAGTCCTCAATGTCATGGATGGGTTCTTCTTGGAAACTGTAATGTTAAGCCCAATAATGTGGAACAGATCCTTGTATAATATCATTTCCTTCAATGTCGCTAGTAATAAAGTTGATGAGAAAAAAAGTTGTTTGTTTCCTTGAGACAGTCTCACTCTGTCACCCAGACTGGAGTGCAATGGCATGATCTCTGCTCATTGCAACCTCTGCCTTCATGTCCCAGGTTTAAGTGAGTCTTCTGCCTCAGCCTCCCGAGTAGCTAGGATTACAGGCATGTTCCACCACATCTGACTAATTTTTGTATTTTTAGTAGAAACAGGGTTTTGCCATGTTGGCCAGGCTGATCTTGAACTCCTGACCTCAAGTGATCTGCCCACTTCAGCCTCCCAAAGTGCTGGGATTACAGGCATGAGCCACCATGCCCAGCCAAAATTGGTTTTGTTATACATTGCTTCACTCAAAGTCACAGCTTCCAAGAACCTATCCAAGTCCTTAAGTGAAGACTGACTTTAACAGCTGGAATGTCTAATTTCTTCATATTATCCTTGATTTTCATTTTAAAAGTTTAATCTCACTCATTTCTCCAGCTAAAAATAAAACTTTTTAAGATCCTCTTCCAAATTCCATTGCAACGGTGATTGGGATCATGATAAATCCATAAATTAATTTGAAAATATTGACATCTTCGTAACAGCTGGGCTTCCATCAACTCATGCAATGTGCTCCCCCCAATTATTTGTTTCTTTTTATTTGAAACTTAGATTCAGAGGGTTGAGTCAAGCATGCTCCTCATCGTTTTTATTTTGTACAAAGCTACTCTCTTATTTTGCTTGTTTTAAATCACTTTTCACATCTGAGGAATTCTGTCTGTAGCCATAGAGAATCAAGGTGACCTTGACTGAGGACACCTGACATTGAGAGAGGAGCAACAGGAGAAATGAGAAACAGGGGCAGCTGTGCTCTTCCTGGATCTCAGTCACTGGATTTGCTCTATTACAGAGTCCTGACTCCATCCTGAACTCTGATTCAGATAACTCTAAAGTGAACTTCAGTCTGGGTGCGGTGGCTCACGCCTGTAATCCTGGCACTTTGGGGGGCCGAGGCACGTGGATCACCTGAGGTCAGGAGTTTGAGACCAGCCTGACCAACATGGAGAAAACCCGTCTCTACTAAAAATACAAAAAAATTACCCGGGCATGGTGGTGGGCGCCTGTAGCCATAGCTACTTGGGAGGCTGAGGCAGGAGAATCACTTGAACTCGGGAGGTGGAGGTTGCAGTGAGCCGAGACTGCGCCACTGCCCTCCAGCCTGGGTGACAGAGAGAGACTCTGTCTCAAAAACAAAAAGGAAAACTAAACAAACAAATAAATAAATAAATAAAGTGCACTTCAGATCCTTTCACCTCTGCCTGTCTCAAGAATCTTTGGCTAACTGTCGTTGCGACCAACAAGTAAGTTGCTCGAGGTGGGCTTTTTCTCGTATGCACAATCAGACAGGGCCCTGCTCCAGACACCACTTGCCTCTTCTCTTCCCCGTCACCTCCTTTCTGGGGCTTCCCTTTTGATTCTAAAGCATTGAGAAATTTCAGAATCTGTGTGGTGCCCATTTATGATGGTGCAGCTTAAAAGTACAAAGAAGTCAACTCCTTGTGGGGCCATCCACTGTCCAGTGGAGTTAGGAGCTGTTGGGTGGACTGTCCTGATATTCAATCATTTATAAAGCTCCCCAGAAAACAGAGCCTCCTGTCAGATCTGGTAGCCTATCTCTTTGGATGCCAAAGGATGACACGCCTGGTAACACACTCGTATTGTTGCTTTCCCTCCTTCCCGTCTTGGCTCTTTGTCCACTGTCTTCTTCCTAGGCTTGTATGTTCTAATAAAATAATAGCACATGAACTTTTGCTTCAGGCTTTGGTTTCTAGTGGACCCAATCTAAGACAGATTTTGTAAAGTAGCTTTTTTTTTTGAGATGGAGTATTGCTCTGATGCCCAGGCTGGAGTGCAGTGGCACAATCTCAGCTCACTGCAACCTCCGCTTCCTGGGTTCAAACGATTCTCTTGCCTCAGGCACGCACTAACATGTCTGGCTAATTTTTGTATTTTTAGTAGAGACAGGGTGTCGCCATGTTGGCTAGGCTGGTCTTGAACTCCCGATCTCTAGTGATCTGCCTGCCTCAGCTTCCCAAAGTGCTGGGATTATAGGCATAAGCCACCTTGCTGGGCCACATAGATTTGTTTCCTTATAAAAACTCATCTTTTTGCCTAGCTAGTTCACATAGATTCCTGTTACTTGCAAACAAACAAAATAATTGATGTCTTTTATGATTATTTATTTTCCATTTTTCTGGAGAAAATACTTAGGATTTTTTTCCCCAAAAGTTGATGTGGCAGGATAGCTCTTTGATTCCATGTATGTGTATCATTTTTCCCTTTAAGAAATGCAGTTTGAGTATAGAACTATGGCATAGTCACAAAATCTGTTATCCTTAAAAGTTTGTGGAAATATTATTTTCAACAACCTGTCTAGCAGCTGAGAAGTCTGATGCCACTATGATTCTTCTCTTTTCCAGTATGTTTTTGGATTTAAAAGAAATAATTTGAGGTCAGAAATTTCATGATCATACATACAGCTGTGCCATTGTGTCCTCTGGGAAGCAGATGTTGAGAAGCTATTTTAAATGCAGGAGGTTTATTAGTGTATAAAGCTTGGTAAAAATAAAATGAAGAGGGAAAAAGGTTGGTTAGGGAAATCATAGACTCCAGAACAGATCTTATATTTCTCAATCAACTTTGTCAATTTGGTTTTATCTGTTCTCTCTTTTCCAATAAGTTTTGAAAATTTGTGGTCAGCCAATGATACCCATCCATATTTTCTTTTTCATGTACCTTTTTAAAGAATCCAATGGAGTATGTGGTAAAAGGATGGTAAACGTGCACTCTGTCTGCCATCTTAAAGTATTCAAGAACTGTGTGTGTGTGTGTGTGTGTGTGTGTGTGTGTGTGTGTGTGTGTGTAAAACGAACTTGTTTTCCATGAAAAGCTTTACAAAGTTACATTTCCACAATCTGAGTATCAGTGAGAATATTTCACTGTAACATATCCACAGTTGGGTTTTATTAGACAAACAAATAAAACATTTAATTTTATAGCTATATATGCTTAAAATGTGCAATCATCTTTAGTAAGGTGAAACTTTTATCTTTCTAATATGGAAAAATTTCTAGCATATACAAAAGTAGAGAGAATTGTATAAAGAATCCCGTGTGCTCATTACCCAGTTTCACCGATTATCAATTACTCCAGGAACCAAGGTAAAATGTTCTGCCAAATATGTATTAGCTATTGTATTTCTTTCTTTGCAAATGTTTTTTAATGCTTCTAACTAGCTGTTTTCTTGGATTTTGGGGTTTTTTCTTGTAAAAAATTATACACTACTTAGGAATTAATGTTATTTTCTCTCTGTCATAATATCACTGCAAATATTTTTATCACATTTTTCTTTTGATTTTCTGTTGTGTTATACTGAATTTTTAATTTGTTTGCTAAATGGAATGATGAAGGGGTTGTTATGATTTTTAAAAATTGTTATTTAATTTTCCAGCACCACGGATTTAAAAAATTAACAGTCTCTATTTCAGAATAATAATATTGCAGGTTAGGAAAAAGTTCTAATTATAAAAGGAAAGAAAAAAAAAGAAAAAGTTCTAATTATTTTCTAGATTTTGAGATTTTCCATTAGTGTTTTTTTCATAAAAGGAAGCTTATGGCAGCATTATCTTTTTTTAAAAAAAGCCTATATTTTTAGAACAAATCTAGATTTACAGAAAAATTGGAAAGACTACATAGAGTTCCCATGAACTCCATACCCAGTTTTTCCTAATTCTACCATCTTACATTAGTATTCATACAACTAATGAACCAATCCTGACATATTAATAAATGTATTTACTCACATTTTATGTAATGTTCTTTTTCTGTCCCAGGGTCCCATCCAGAAGACTGTGTTACATTTAGGCATCATCTCCTTAGCACTATTTGGCTATGACCATTTCTCAGAATTTATTTGTTTTTGCTGATCTTGGCAGGTTTGAGAAGTGGTCAGGTATTTTGTATAACGTCCTTCTGCTGGGATTTGTCTGATGCATGTCTCAATTGGGGTTTTGGGTTTGGGGGAGGAAAACTGTAGAGGTCAAGTGCTATTTCATCACATCATCTCAAGGACACATATCAGCATGACTTATCCCTGTTGATTGTGACTGATCAGCTGGCTGAGGTCGTGTTTGTCAGGTTTCTCTACTACGAAGTTGCTTTTGTTTCCCTTTCCGTAGCATATTCTCTGTGAGGGAGTCACTTTATGCAGCCCACACTTAAAGACTGGGGAGTTATGCTCCCCCACAGGGGTGCAGCTTCTACATAAATTATTTGGAATTGTTCTGCCTGGAATTTTGTCTTTTCTCCCCCCAATTTATTTATTTAATCATATATTTATGTAGTATTGATAGTGACAGGAGGCAGCCAAATGACAAGGCAGATAGCGACAGGTTCCCAGTGAAATCCCAGCTCCAAGCCAAAAAGAGTTTAAAGCCTGAAAGCCAAACTACAAATTAAATCCCCAGACTTGGTTGAGAACTTGTCCTCCTGTTTGGCACCCTTTCCTCTAATCCCCACCCTTCACTATTTTACATATACCTACCCTTTCCTAATTTGTTTTCTATGCTGTCATGCCCACCTTTGAATGGCGTCTTCACTTTAACCTTTTTTGCATACTCACAAGCCAATCAGCATGCATGCCCCATCCTGTGCCTATAAAGACCCCAGACTCAGTCAGTGGAGGTGGAGGTGGCCTGACTTCGGTGAAGATGACCTGCACTTCCTGGCCCCTTTGTAGCTCCCCTGGCTGCTGACAGCCATTTTCATCACTCAATAAAATTCTCTGTCTTCACTATCCGTCAGTTGTCTATGTGGCCTCATTCTTCTTGGATGCTGGACAAAAGCTCGGGATCCAGTGAGTACAGGTACCCTGAAAATGTTGTCACACAGGCCCTTTGCCCTCACTGGCAAAGGGCAGTCACTCTACGCAATGAGGCAAGGGGCAAGCTGAGCTGCTAACACAGTGCTGTCCATCAGACTGCAGATGGTAGAACTAAAAGAGCACTGTGACATCCCCTCTGGGGCTTCAGGGTCGTAAGTGGACACCGTCACCTGGGCGTCACCATGTTCCCTTCCAGGCAACACAACTGGTCTGATCACAGGCCCCACATGGAGCTTGCTCCTGTGTTGACACCCAGAGCAGTCATCTGGATTCCGCACTTGCCTGCTCACATGCTCCCTGCCGCAAGGGGCTGAGCGTGGCGGGCCAAGTAGAGGCAGTGCCCCTGCTGCAAGTCCAGTGAAGGGGCCTAGAAAAATCTTGCATCAGTATGGATTCATAAAGATTTATTGTATATTCTGTGTTATAATCCAATGTTATTACTTTTAGTTGTTGTTGAACAAATTGTTCCAGCTTTGGCCATTGGAAGCTCTTTCCTTTGACTCCTGGGTCCTTTTGACTACCGTCGGGGGGTGGGCGGGGGCCCTCATTGTTTATGTGTGTCGGGAGGCAGGTGGGGGCTGCCTGATTTAATGCCTTCTGGCACTACAAGATGTTCCAGGTCCATCTTGTATATTTCCTACTTCAATCTTAGAATCAGCCTTTTCACCAAGGTGCTCTGGTTACTTTTATTGGAAAATGATACTAGAAACCAAGATGAGGGTGCTAAGTGTGCTTATTACTCCAGTTTTATTGTTTCTAGCCCTCTTAGCCAACAATGCAAGGAAATATATGTGTGTATATTTCCTGTATACACACACACACATACACACACACACACACACACACACACACATTTCTATATGTAACCATCTGTAGCTATATTAAGCTAAAAATGAATTCATATTGATGCCTCCAACTTTATTCCTTTACCACTAAGATCATGCTAGACTCTCCCCTTGCTTATCTGTAACCTCCAACTTCAACAGTGAGAAACCTGGCTCCTACCACCTGCCATGTATTTACTTAATTGTTCAAATACGGCATACATGTAGAATAGTAGCAGAATTGGTAAACTCTGTGGGAAACAACTTTCTCAGCTAGAGGTCTAGTCCCTATGTAGTTTCTTTCATCTTTAGTTTTGCAGACTTTGCTCATTTCCAAAGTTTGAGGTCAGCACCTGAAACATTTGTAAGGCTGTTTCATGCATTTGTAATATAGTTAGATTGTTTTGTCACATTCTGGATTCCATCCTGGGATTCCCCTGACCTCCTAGTTTTGTTTTAATTTTCATACATAATTTCACTGTTTGTGTTAAACCAGCACTACTTTAACAAAATAATTCTTTTCCTCAACATCTAATTTGTAAGGCTTTATCACACATTAAAACCTTGTGTCTACTAATATCTGTATTTCTTTGCTTACTGTGTGTGTGGTACATAAACCTCCTATCTAGCAGTTAAATAAAAATTGATTTCAAGTTAGAGGAGAGAAAAATATGAAACTTCCTTGGAAGCACTATCCTACAATCCAGGCTGATAGGATTTCCACAGAATAAAACAAGTTTATTGGCATACGCAGAAAGTTACAAAACATATCATTAACTATGGGTGAGAGAAGATACAACAAAGATTTATACCCCCAGGAATTTGAAATATAAAGTGAACAAGGAAATAAAATATTAAAAAGTAAGTAAAACACAAATAGCAATGATTTTGGGGGGAGTTAACAAAAAATAGTTATATGTAAAACTAGTTATATGACAGATGAGAGAGTGTTTGTGAATATAGGTAGTTCAGGTTCTCCTATTGTCATGTGTGAGGTCCAAGGTACTAATGAATTTATATATTTTTTATACTTTAAGTTCTGGGGTACATGTGCAGATTGTGCAGGATTGTTACATAGGTACACATATGCCATGGTGGTTTGTTGCATCCATCCCCCTGTCATCTACATTAGGTATTTCTCCCAATGTTATCCCTCCCCAATGCCCCTACCACCTGCTATCTCTCCCCTAGCTCTCCCAGTCCCCAACAGGCCCTAGTATGTGATGTTTCCCTCCCTGTGCCCATGTGTTCTCATTGTTCAACACCCACTTATGAGTGAGAACATGCAGGGTTTGGTTTTCTGTTCTTGGGTCAGTTTGCTGCGAATGATGGTTTCCAGCTTCATCCATGTCCCTGCAAAGGATATGAACTCATCCTTTTTTATGGCTGCATAGTATTCCATGGTGTATATGTGCCACATTTTCTTTATCCAGTCTGTCACTGATGGGCATTTGGGTTGATTCCAAGTCTTTGCTATTGAAAACAGTGCTGCGATGAACATACGTGTGCCTATGCCTTTAAAATAGAATGATTTATAATCCTTTGGGTTATACCCAGTAATAGGATTGCTGGGTCAAATGGTATTTCTAGTGCTAGATCCTTGAGGAATCGCCACACTGTCTTCCACAAGAGTTGAACTAATTTACACTCCCACCAACAGTGTAAAAGTGTTCCTATTTCTCCACATCCTCTCCAGCATCTGTGGTCTTCAGATTTTTTAATGGGGTTATTTTTTTTTTCTTGTAAATTTGTTTAAGTTCTTCATAGGTTCTGGATATTAGCCCTTTGTCAGATGGGTAGATTGCAAAAAAATTTTCCCATTCTATTGATTACTTGTTCACTCTAATAAGTTTCTTTCGCTGTGCAGAAGCTCTTAAGTTTAATTAGATCCCATTTGTCTATTTTGGCTTTTGTTGCCATTGCTTTTGGTGTTTTAGTCATGAAGTCCTTGACTATACCTATGTCCTGAATGGTATTCCCTAGGTTTTCTTCTAAGGCTTTTATGGTGTTAGGTCTTATGATTAAATCTTTAATCCATCTGGAGTTAATTTTTGTATAAGGTGTGAAGAATGGGTCCAGTTTCTGCTTTCTGCACATGGCTAGCCAGTTTTCCCAACACCATTTATTAAACAGGAAATCCTTTCCCCATTGCTTGTTTTTGTCAGGTTTGTCAAAGATCAGATGGTTGTAGATGTGCAGTGTTACTTCCAAGGACTCTGTTCTGTTCCATTGGTCTATATCTCTGTTTTGGTACCAATACTATGCTGTTTTGATTACCGTAGCCTTGTAGTATAGTTTGAAGTCAGGTAGCATGATGCCTCCAGCTTTGTTTTTTTTCGCTTAGGATTGTCTTGGCTATGCAGGCTCTTTTTTGGTTCCATATGAAGTTTAAAGTGGTTTTTTCCAGCTCTGTGAAGAAAGTCAATGGTAGCTTGATAGGGATAGCATTGAATCTATGAGTTATTTGGGCAGTATGGCCATTTTCATGATATTGATTCTTCCTAACCATGAGCATGGAATGTTTTCCATCTGTTTGTGTCTTCTCTTATTTCCTTGAGCAGTGGTTTGTATCATGAACATGTGAGCTTCACCCCAGGGATGCAAGACTGGTTCAACATATATAAATCTATAAACGTAATCCATCACATAAACAGAACCAAGGACAAAAACCACATAATTATCTCAATAGACGCAGAGAAGGCCTTCGACAAAATTCAACAGTCCTTTATTCTAAAAACTCTCGATAAACTAGGTATTGATAGAATGTATCTCAAAATAATAAAAGCTATATATGACAAACCAACAGCCAATACCATACTGAATGGGCAAAAACTGGAAGCATACCATTTGAAAACTGGCACAAGACAAGGGTGCCCTCTCTCACCACTCTTATTCAACATAGTACTGGAAGTTCTGGCCAGAGCAATCAGGCAAGAAAAAGAAATAAAGGGTATTCAATTAGGAAAAGAGGAAGTCAAATTGTCTCTCTTTGCAGATGACATGATTGTATATTTAGAAGACCCCATCGTCTCAGCCCAAAATCTTAAGATGATAAGCAACTTCAGCAAAGTCTCAGGTACTAAATCAATGTGCAAAAATCACAAGCATTCCTATACAACAATAACAGACAAACAGACAGCCAAATCAAGAACGAACTCCCATTCACAGTTGCTACAAAGAGAATAAAATACCTAGGAATACAGTTAAAAAGGGATGTGAAGGACCTCTTCAAGGAGACCTACAAACCACTGCTCAATGAATTTAGATTTTGTTAAATGTCTGGGCAAAGT